TTGCGCAGAGTACCGGTATCATCGCAGCATCCGTGGCGTATATGTAAATGTAACGGGCGTTCACATAGCATATTCATTTGTAAACATGATGAACGAACGAGCACGATGCATGTAAAGAGATATATGTGACACATCAAATGTAATTAATTAAATAAAATTTTTTGTTACTCGCTATTATGTGCATCTACTCTAGCTCGCAAACTATGCTGTTTCCTGATACAGTAGCTTTTCCGAATGGAAATTCATTTTGCGGATATATGTTTTATGACATAAATAATAAATCATTATAAGATGAATAGATAGATACTGCAAATCACGGTTTTTTGGTCTTAACCATCGTAACATTCAATAATCTTCCAAAATGGTAACAGAAGCTTCGTAAAGTCATCCTTTACGTATTGTTCTTTATTGCCGCTTTGAGTAACGCTTGGTCATTGAGATTTGCGTCAAACAATTTAATCTAGAAACGATTACTTATTTGTTCTAGTCGCTAATCACGGCCCCTTTGCTTATTTATAGACGTATAGAAAAGCTTTATTTATTTTATTTTATTTTATTCATAAGCAAGCCGTAATCAATAATAATACATATTATTTCAGGCTCTTGTCAAGCTTATTCATAATTACTATTAAAAGGATAGTAATTTTATAATAATCATAGTAGCTGCACGAATTTTGCTTCTGAAAAAGAGCTGAAAAAAAGCATTCGACGACATTAATACAATGTTCATCATCAAGTCCATCATATTAAAATCTATTTGACCACCAGTTAAGCTCAAAGTTCTTGCACAAGGTTGAAAGTTATACTCATTTAAAACCGTAAAAAATTTAATTAATAAAATAGCAATAAAAAACATAGATAAAGGATAAGGATTATGCAAGAAAATAGTTGTTGAAATCAAATTGAGAAAATTCAGTAATATCATAAAAAGCTAATTCTTTAAAAAAGTTTAACTGAGAAAGCATGAAAATTTTTGCTGTCTAAGTTTTGGATATTGGGTGGAAGTTTATTCATAAGTTGAATACCATTTGCACTTCATCTCAATGTCTCAACAATATTTCATTTACTTGTAATTTAGTACCATAGCACAAAATTCATCCATTGTATTGATTGAATTTAATTTCTTCTCGGTTGTAAAAGTTTGATCAACTTATTCACGAACCAACAGTTACTGGATTAGATTTTATATTGACTTTGCTGGATTTTGCAGTGTAGTAAACATATTAATTCAAATACCTTTAAATGATTCTCTGCATTATAATATTTGATTTAAATAAATGTAGATTTTTTCAAAGTTACAGAAATCGTGTTAATTAAGTGTGCAAATTCATTTTTGGTCACACAATCTAGGCGGTTATATTCTACTTCATCATATTGAATACAGAACAATATTTTTTTTTGTTCGTTATCTTGAAGCATTTGTTAAAAAATATAGTGTAGTATAATGGTATGACGGTTTTGCAAACTTATGGCTTTTCCATTACTATTTGTTACACTAAATACTTGATTTCATTTGTCAAAGTCGTATAATTAAATTTTTAATTTGGTAATAATGACTGTCCTACGTAAAGTACATATAAAAATTATAGAGTAAAACATATTTTCAACCATGTTATTAATAAAATTATGTTATAATAGTGGTTCAATAGTATCAATTATTTTTCCATTAGATTAATATTACTTGCATGATAACTGAATCGTGATTTGGGACAGATTCTGCCGTAAAATGGACCAATTTTATGGTAAAGCTATGTTACGTAGCATTTTTTCATATAAAATAGTGCTAAAAAATTTTCCAAATGCTATGTTTTTTGCTTTGTCAGTCGAGTTTTACACAAAAAATGTAACTTCGCTCATATGTTATTATGCCACATCATAAAGTTATAACATTCTTTTTTTTGACGTTTGTGCTTTTTCTGGTTTAGGTTTCCAATTTAAAACACCTGACTGCACAGCAACCACATAGCTATTTGACAGTTTTTAGTACCACTTTATATGAAAAACGCTACGTAACATAGCCTTGCCATTACATTGGTCTACTTTACGGTAGAATCGACTATATATATATATTATCGTATGAACATTACTAGGTCTATGATACCTGAAACGATGTAACGAATGCCTACTACAGATTTCAGCTGCAAATGTTTGCGAAACTTATGCCTTTGCATGAACAACTGTGGGTTTACGCGAATCATTCGTATCCGATGTTCTGTTTCGAGTTGCTCTTAGACCCGGAGTACGCATAAGTTCAGAGTGTTTGTGCGAAATTAATTTTAACAAATCATAGTTTGAATTGCTTTGCCACTTCTCCTCTCTGACTGCAAGTTTTCGTATAGTTATTCTGTTTCATATGTAATATAGAGAGATGATTATTCTCTAATGGCGAAGGCTTTGATGGTGAACTAAGAGGTAGTTGAAATAGATTGTTTTGTATAAACCTAATGAAGCGTTATCAAATTATAAAGTTTAATTCTATCAAGTGGGAGTTTGAGTTTTACCTTGTTTCTTTGATTGCATGCCATTCAGATACATATGAAATAATGTTCTTTTATCATATAAGCTCATTATCGATTGAAAATTGTCCTAGTCTTTAGAAAATCTCTACCATATAGCTCAAAATTGCATTACTAGCTCATTTTTATAACTGCCATATATAAGGAATTTCTCAAATACTTACATGAATTATTTTATGGGAATGTGATGGGGCTAATCAAAACGTGATCGTAGGCGATATATGCTATATAAAACCCATATAATTTTATGAGGACTTTCTTATTAGGAAATCTCTGTAATTTGCCGGGCTTCAAGAAAAAGCTCTTCGTAATAAGCTTTTAATAGACCTCTAGAAGTGACTGAATGTCACAGTTTTAAATCTTCAGATATTTCTTTAATGATTGTTAGTTTTACTTAAAATACATATAAAATGTATGCAATAAATGCAATTTAGATAATTATTTATTTAATTACTATTTTATTGACTTATTTTAAAATTGTTGCAAGGTAACGAAAAAGAATAAGTAAACGTACTCTTCACTAGTAAGGTATCTTCGTAACTTCATTACAATCTTATTTTTTGCAATCTCAATAGATTCAAATATCCATTTACAAACCAATAATAATCTAAAATTACATCTTTGATAAAGGCGACTACTAGATTTTATGAGTATTGGACTTATATTGCTTTGGTTAGGTTATAATTATGTTGTCAAAAGTGATCACAAAACAAAGATTTGAATTAACTACATTTTTCATGAAACCTGATTCATGAATTTTTTATGCAATAAACCACTGTCTATCACAAACTTAACTTTTTTTAATATCAATCAGAATACAAAATTCTATGAGCTATTTGGCTTAATTCGTTCGCTCAACACACACTCTCAATTATAAACATATTAGAAATGGGTAACTCACTCCGGAGTTACCACTCCGATATAACTCCTCCCTTGGAGTGAATCCGAGGAATGAATCCGAATTAACATGTGCAGATATTTGCTCGAGATTTTTTACTAATACAAAGATTTAGGTCGAAAGAAGTGGTCTTACATCCAGGTTTAGGACTTTTCAGGTATATAATGTCTCAAAATAATGCTATTTTGTATTCTGCATTCTGTATACGATAATGTGTGTCCGTAAATGAGCTGTTTCAATGGTATACAACCAGCTAAAAAATATTCAGTATTATATTATAACTTTTACACAATTATGATTTTATAATTGTGTAAAAGTAATAGAATGCTAATCAAACTACCTGATGTATAATTAATTCTCGAAAAGGAAATAATAAAAGAATGTGAGGTATTATTATTTTGTGAAAAATATTATACACAAAGATTTGTTCTTACTTCATATATAAAGTTCACTGCATTATTCATATAAAAAATCTCTTCAAAAATAATTACAAAATTGATTTTGATTCCCAAGTTTTTTGTCAATTTGAGATTTGTATGCATATTGAAATGCATAAAATCGTAATTGTTATAAAAAATGAACAAAAATGTTTGAACTATTTGTAAAGTATTTCCAAAGTCTTAATAAATCCTTATTAGATAACACCACACTAGAGAACACATTTGTGCCAATTATGTTTTCAAAGTTGTCGGAGTCATGGAGTTGTTAAGTGGATATAACTCCTCTCTGAAGCGGAGTCAAATCATAACCGATCCGGCTTCGGATATGATAAGCCCATCTCTAATACATATGATATTATTGTGCTAGATTTTAATATATCAATAGTTCTCACTCTGAGTGATCCATTGCCAATTCTGGCAATTTCTTCAAAGAAGTTGCAATGTTTATAATTCTGAATATTGTGTATGGAAAACTGTTTTTCAGTCTTCTGAATTGTATTTATACTTATGTCAATTAGATGTCTTAAGTGAAAAAGTGATATTTGTGTTATATTGATGTATGAAAACATTTTTGCTAACTGTTTCTTTATTTATTATTTCAGAATACCGAAAGAATGAAAATGTAGAGAACCGTGTAAGCTGTGATTACAATAATTATCCTCAAGAAGGCAAAGTATGCGACGTGCCCGTTGACAACTGGTCGCCATGCACGGCCGACAACCAGTACAACTTCCACAGAAGCGCGCCTTGCATATTTTTGAAACTCAATAAGGTAAGAAAAGGCACCGATTTCGAATAATTTGTTATAAGAACTTAGTATATTTTACACTGCCCGATGCTCATTTTAGCCATTACTCATCAACATGTTTGTTTTTATCGCAATGTCTCTCAAAAATATAAAATCAACACTCGTTAATAACTACTGGAAAAGGGTATTCATAGCATCTATATGTGTATTATAGCAAACATATTTTTTCAATGTTTTGATCGGCGTCGATCTGGATAAATTAATTGGACCGGATCTAGCTCGCTGATTGAATTTTTTTCCCCTGGCATTTAGTAAAATGAATTTAACATAAATGCTTACTTTAACATGTATATTTGCATGTTAGTGCAAACAAATTTTAATAAACTCAAACAAAATTATGTCATTTTTATACAAAGTACTTACACACCTCTATCTAATTTACTGTATATAGCCGATTGGCGTCTAATAAATAAATAAATAAATAAATAAATAAATATTTTCAATACTTTTGAAAAAAACTTCAATTTATATCATGTCGCTCTATTTTTCTCGTAACTTACAACCAATACAAAAAACTCAACGAAAATAACTCGATTTCAAAAATAATTAACTGACATAGTAAACTTGTAATTTATGATTTTTTCTCTTATTGTTAGATACGGTTTATGATAATTATCATCATAAATATCATAAATTATTTGTTAAATATAATCTTTATTATCAATTATTAATCATAATTATTGACCAAGTTAACAAGCAATGAAAAAATACATCTTTATTATAATATTTTATTGTTTCTTAATGCGTATAGGTTCTTTTTCACAAGCTTTATAATTGCAATATATAATAATTAATCTAACGAGTAAACAAATTAAACTTTAGTAACACTTAATAGATGGAGCTAACAAATCTACTTTTTGCAATTTAACGATTCAAGTCTAATATTCTCTTCATTCGAGATAACAATGATTTTTATTTAAATTAGTTAAGTCCATTTATTAGTGAAAAAGTAGATATACTTTTGAATACTTATGAGCGAATTTTGAATTGGATATATGATCAAATATTTTCTATCAAATCAAGAAAACCACATTCTCAATAAACTGCAATAGAAATAGTACATTACCAACTGAAAAAAGAACTGTTACTATATCTTACAAAAACAATATTTTATTTAAGATTAAGTCAAGATATGAAATATAGAAACTTAGTGTATTTTATTAGTAACTCTAACTTTCATGTTATAAATGTGTAAATTTTAAAGTACAATATTTTCTTATTAAATAGATGGATTTAAAATAAAATAGAAATGAATAAATTTAATAAATAAGCAAAAATTAACCTTAAATGATGTGTTATAAAACTATTCGTTGATGCCCCACTTTGGGTTAGAAATTTTATTCTAGAAGATCAATAATCAGAAATTGTAGGATAAAGTAGCTGGAAAGTCAGGTAACGACCAAGACTCTAACTTTTGCGACGGGAAGATATATTACATTGAAAAAAAACTGTTATTTTATCCTAAATCTTCTATATCTATCCTTTATATGTCGCCTGTAGTTGAATAGAGAATACTATCATTGATTTTGCAATTTAGTATGTACCATTAATATTAAAGTTCTATTAGAAAAATATAACTTCAATTGTAAAATATTTCCAATAACTAGATATGGGGGTATGCTCTATATTCAGCTGGCGTATTTATAATATGAGCTATCCGTTGCGCTTTTTCTTCAATTATTCATGAGAACCATTATCGTGAAGGAAAAGCTCGCTTGTTAGTTTCATTTTATATCTGGAAGCATCACAATAATACCGTAATACTACGTCATTTATATCTAGAAATATGAATATATTTCGTTATAATGGACAGGTATATAATCTGAACACTTTGATGTGATATCTACAACGTACATTATGGAAAAAGGGGTCGTTGTGATAGAAATAGTTGGGATGATTGAAACTTATTAGCAAACTTACTTTTTTTAACTTGTGTAGGTTTGTTACAAAAAATATGATTTTATGAAAACTTTAATAGCTGCTCTTAAAATAATTTTTTCTAGAATATCTAAAGTTTTTCTTTTTCAACTACGCTATGAAGAGTGCGCTCTTGTTGTTGCGATTCATTTTCGGATTTCTATTTTTTTAATATGTTAATTGTTATATGGTAAGATGATATTTGTGTTGTAAATGTATCTAATCGTATTGTAAGGCTCGTAATTCTATCTAAAAATAAAAATAAAATATATTGTCTGTAGACGACCGATGGCTTATAAGAAGCCCTCGATTTGGAAACATTTTTAAACATGATAAAGTCTGATACCACTTTATTTTTTTCTGCCTGCTTTTCGCGTATACTTTCATCTACTATTTACTGTAAATTGTACCTTTTTTCACTTTATTGTCCTCTGCCTTAAGGAAATTCATGTTTACTCTGTTTTCACATTTTTTCCACTTGTTTATTTTTTCATGAAACAGTTTTTATTAATTTACTGTTTTTTCATTCTCTTATACAATTATAAACACCTCTTTGTAATAAGTATCAATATTCCTTATATATTTTATCAAGTACTAGGATATTTGAAGTTTTTTGAGATGAGAGCTTTTTTCCTTTAGTTTTCAGGTTTTCTTACTAGAACTTCTAAAATAAGCAATGATGTGCGTTGAGTAAAAAATTACTCAAAAAATGAGCAGTTTCACGTTAAGGATCTAATTATTAACATCAAATCTGATGTATTTCATACATGTTCAATTGCTTTGATTTGATACAGCAGATTTGCTTGAATGATGGAGCTATTTCAAATAATCGTGTGAAATTAACAAGCTGAAAAGTTCTTTATTTTATTAGAAATTTGCATTGCCTGGTGAAATCTCTCTTTAGTTCACTTGATATTAGTCGAGAATTTTGAAGATTTTCAAACGTGTTTTTACTCTGAAATAGTATGTAACTTTAAATCTTATTAATAGTCTATGGCAAATCTAACTGTTAAGGCAAATTTTCAGGTTGCATTTATAGCATACAGGCAATTTCATATTAAATGCCATATAGTATGAAATTGCCTGTAAGTTGTTGTTTTTTATTATACAGAAATCACAACTCACGAGTCTTATGACCTGTTATGATGATATTTCTTAACTACGTAGCTTATTTTAGAATGCTATTCAACGGTTGGCCTATCTATGTTTAACATATTCTTCATTAGAATTATTTTATTGCTGTAGCCTAAGGATATATCGAATCTAGTATGTTTTGATAAGGCCCCAGATGTTTTGATAAGGCCCCAGATGTTTTGATAAGGCCCCAGAGTTCTAATCGGTAATCCACTCTGAATAAGTGATTTTTGATTACATTTTATTTTATGACATTTTATTTCAAATGCCCTGGGTCAGACTTTATTGTTCGTACATAACTTTTTTGAACAGCAATCAGAACTTGAGTCCTATAAACTGTTGTGCTAATTTGACTTATGTTATATTTAATACTAGTCTATTCTACAGATGGCAACCCAAACAGTTGTCCTATTTCTGTGTGACAAATTGTTATTACAAAAACTGTAATTGGGCGAATATTTCATTAATGCAGAAGTTTTTTAAGATGCTCTACTGATTAGATGTTTTTTAATATTTATATAACAGAAATCAGAACTTTACGTCGCATAAGCTGTTAGGCTAAAACTTTTCCTCACCTCGTATTTCTAGATGGTAACCCAACAGTTGATCCATCTATACTTAAATATTTTAGTATTAGAATTTATCTAATAGGGCTGACTTATGATTCAGTATGATGCAGCTTTGCCTCACTCCCTTTGTAACATATTGCTACCTATATTTCCAAGTAAAAACCGTAGTCACTACTTACATAGGGCTCGCCCGTAGGTAAGCGAGTAAGCGGTTAGGAGCGACGGGACTTGTTTCAGAGGTCCCGGGTTCGATACCCACTTCGAGCGGCCTGTTGTCAGGCAGCAGTGACAACGATTTTTACTTGGAAATATAGAAAGCAATATGTTTCCAAGTAATAACAGCCCTAATGCGGCATTGCTGCACCAATTAAATGCATCACTGTTAAGGTAATTGTAATAATAACAGTTCAGCACATAGAGATGAGACAACTGTTTGGGTTGTCATCTATAATAAAACAAACGTAGTTTGTAACATATTAATCACAACAACTCATAGAACCCATAAGTTCTGATCGCTGTTCAAATAAATTAAAAAAAGCTACTTACATAACATATTGTCGGTTTTGCACCTTATAAAATTTTGTTTTGTTGAACTTCGCCCATGGTTAGGTAATTAAATTCGTTTTGATATCGCCGGCTCCATTAATATCAAAACAATCCATTTTGCTTATAGATTTCCTTTTTGTATTGTTATCCACAGAAGAATGAATCAATCATAATGCCTTGTTCGGAAATTTTCCACAATAGTACTTTGAAATCGATTGACTCGTTGTTTACTCTTTGTAACCACTAACACACATAGTATGAACCTACCGGAAGATAGAAGAAACCCTCGGTGTGATAGTGGCCTAATCTAATACAAACCTTAATATATAATGCATGCGTGCTACACGACACACCGGCTTTTGACATTTGCAATCCGGCCGTACTCTTTCAAGGCCACACTTCTATTTCCGAACTCTTAATAATGTATTCACTAAAAGGAGAGACCAGACCCCCGGCAGCTTAACTCCAGTCACGCTGCGCTATGGCTGCGAGCTTCCGTATAAATCAGGCAACGGAAACCTTCATTACAACGGCCATAATAATATTTTATAATCTTTGCTTTTCATTTAGCAATTTGTATATAATGTATTCAACCTATTCAAATAGGAAAAATACTTTGCAACTGACTCTACAATTATAGCTACTGGAGTTGCAATGCATTGTTTGCACTCCTATTTAATTGGTTTACTTTTATACATTTGAAATATACTACTAAAAATAGTACTGAAATGTACACTAAAATGTACGTAATTTTTAACACTCCTAGAGGTCCTAGATTCGATACCCGCTACGGGCAGCCTGATGTCGAGCCATTGTGACAAATATAGATCGCAATATGTTTTCAAGTGAAAATAATCCGGCATTGCTGCAACAATAAAAAAATCATCATTGCAGAAATTGTAGTAATGAAACTTATGATATAGAGATGGGACAACTATTTGTGTTACCGCCTATAAAACGGGCGTAGTTAGTTAAGTCAAATCATCTCAAAAGCTTATAGAACTCTTAATTTCGATTTCAAATTAAGGGGCACACCTAGTGTGAAATTTTCAAAAAATCGAATTTTATTTTTTCCATATTTCGATGGGTTGTACCTTTAAAAACAACATACTAAAATTTTAAATCGATATCTTAAATAGTTTTTGAGTTACAACCATTTAAAAAAGAATATATAGTATATAGTATAACGATCATTTTTTCGGCGACGCCAGAGATCGCGTATCATTTCAAAAATATTTAAAAATTTTACTGTGTATTCTCAAAACATGTTTAAATAAACCTTTAAAATTTTTAATACATGGATTCACTAGTTTTTTATGTTTTAATTCCCAAAAATGGCTTTTTTTTAGGTTGTCACACTTGGTGTGCCCCTTAAGAATTAAATTTGCAATCTCAAATATAGATCACAATTTGTTTCCAAGTGAAAATAGCCCGTATCTGGTATTGCTGCATGTACAAAAAAATGCATCATTATTGTAGTAATCAAATTCATCACATAGAGATAGGATAACTATTTCGGTTACATCTACAAAATCGACGTGGTTAGTTATATTAAATCAAATCATCACAACGTATGGGACTCCTAGTTTCTAATCTTACATCTCAACATTAGTGAATAGTGCAAGAGTTTCCAAATTTTATCCGCCTCAGGCAGCCCTATGTCAAACAGAAGTGACACTGGTTTTTACTTCAAAATATAAGAGCAAATGTTTAGTGAAAATAGCCCTTACCGGGAATTGCTGCATCAATAAAAAAAATTCAGCACTACAAAAATTGTAGTATGAAGTTTATCATATAGAGATTGGATAACTACTCGGGTTACCATCTATAAGATCGACGTAGTTAGTTGAGTCAAATCATCATAATCACCACAAATTATAGGACCCCCAATTTCTGATTTATAACTTAGTATTCTTGATTAGAGGTACGGGATTTCAATCAAAGGGCCTGGGTTTGATACCCGCTTCGAGCAGCCTGATTTGAAGCAGTAGTGACATCTGTTTTCACTTGAAAATATAGATAACAATATTTCCGAATGAAAATAACCCTTACCCGGCATTGCTACATGTATAAGAAAAATTTATCACTATTACAAAAATTGTAATAATAAATTTATCTTATAGAGATAATACATACGTTTGGCTTTGGGTTTGGGTTTGAGTATCCGTAAAACGACCCTTAATTTCTCATTGATATTCCAAATATATATAAAAAGAACTTCTTTTGTATATGTTGAACTTACATGTGGGCAATACATTAATAGAGTAAATTTGAGGAAAGTTTTAACATACTTGCTTATACATACCTTTATCATAACTTTCTAAATTATTTTAGAACTTCTAACTAGATATAACTTTTTGCTTTTTATTTTTTACCTTGTTACATATAAAGTACAATTGATCAGAATATTGTGCAATAAAATAATTATTAAGAGTAAATATATTCCGATGATTTATTTTACCAATAAAATGTATTGAAAATAAAATATAAATTCATGATAACCAATATAAAGTAACTCTACTTATAGGATACGAAACTCGTAATAAAAGAAAGTCGAGATTTATACATGATTCAGTAGGTATATTGCAATAAAAAAAATATTCTTACTATAATCACAAATAACAGCAAATAATTAAATGAATAGTATCAAGGAGAAAATTTTATAATTTTGATTTAATAAACAAAAAAATATAATCTTAATTACCTTGCTATCGCATAAATATATTTTAAATGATTTTACTTTACTTTTTCGTGTTCTAAAGAAGTAAATCACATAGAACTTAGTGTCTTCTTAAGCTCAATTTAAACGTCCTATAAATAGTTTTATATATAAGAAACTATGTATATTCCTTATTAAAGCGCAGGTGATATACGTGAACCTCGTGTAGGTTACGGCAATATAGTATTCTAAATACCTCATTTTGAAAGTTATTCGAATCGTATTTAATTTGAACACGTAATAAATGTTTTTATACCCTAAACGGAAACACATTTATTTCACTTCCCACAGGTGAAGGAAGATATCTGTGAGATTAAACTTTTTTGTGTGGTTTGCAATTCTGCGTATGGAGTAGTATATTGCTAGTTATATTCTGAGCTGAGAGAAATTGCCTTCAGCATTGGAAGATATTAAAACATATTGCTTTCCACTTCTTGGAACTTTACACCTTAGATATCAGTAGAAAAGCATTTTCTGATCTGAACCAATTCTTGAAGTTTTCTTTAGTTATATATTTAGTTAATAACACTTTTTTATTGTGAATTATAATAGAAGGATGATCTCTGAATTAACGCAAAACACATATCCTAATTTTTTACTATTTTCTATTTTTTTAATTCTTTTTCAGTTTCATTTGTCTTTCTAGTAGTAGTTTCAGTGTGAATTGATACATATAATTACTCCGTTTAATTGTGTACTTGTATTAGTAGAAAAATTTGTACCTTGTTAACATATATTGTAATTTCAATGTACATGTCTCTACGTATGACACTAGATATCATCGAAATTATTTTTAAACGTTTTATACGTTAACACGCAACTATGTCAACGTAATAAGTGGTCAAATTATAGAACTCAAGTACGTCATAGTTTTAACACACGCTATCGTATATATTCTATTTATATGGACCTAAATTATTTCACGTGATTTTTTTTCATTTTAAGATTTACGGCTGGAAACCGCAATATTATAACAGCACCGACGTTCTTCCCGAGAAAATGCCAAAAGACTTGAAAGACCACATCGCTAGCGAACGAGGACGCAACCCTAAAACGGTAAGTTAAAATTTTAATTAATATATTATTAAATTTATGTTCAACTTAATTGCAAATTCGATTTGTCATAGGGTAGGGAAGAGCCCAAATTTTGAACAACTATATTGTGAAAACCAAACCAATTATATCACAACAAATAACACATATCAAATAAAACAACCATCTGACTATGTTCAGTAAAACTCCCTCCATAGTTGAAATGTTTTTTTGTTGTTTTTCAAAAAATTTAAATAAGCTATATTTAACAATTATATTAAGGTCTTGTGAACTAAACAACAGTGCTCACAATAAAAAAAAACTAACAACGAAAGAAAATACTTTTGTTGTGCATTTTCAAACATTGGCGTTTATCTACCGATAGCAATGTTGTAAGAATCAAGGTGATGGCTGGTTATAATTTTATTCTCACTACTTTCAGATATTGTTGTTAAAAAATTCTAACTTTGTTTTTGAGAAATTGGTGATGGACATTTTTATCCGCGGACCTTTAAGCACCGCTATACTCTATACAAACTTACTGCTAATTCAAATTTTTTCCTATAAATATATAGAACAAATTACATATACTACACTATAAATTTCATCAAATATATTGTTAACAAATAGGTTTATATATTGAATAAGGTCCAATCTGCATTCACATGACTTGCGCCCAAAAGATTTATTTTTTTGACTTACTGAAATTGGTTTTCCTTACTATGGCATTTGTTTACAAAACCTGACAAAATTTTTGAATTTTTTAATATTTTTGAAAGAATTCAGTTTGTTAAACCTAAATATTTAGTTTTAACTCTTGTTTCATGTCTTAAATGCTCAATAATAAAAATTATTAGTAATGTTTTAATGATTAAGATATATGGTTTCTGTCAAAAATTAAATATATATACGACAATAGGCCCTTAAATTCGTCACAATACATATTAACATTATGAAATACGATTTAATTATTGTTGCCATTGAATGAACCATTTTTTCGCGTGTTGTCATTTGCTAAGAAAATCTTAAATTTCCTATGCAGATAGGGAAAGCATCAGTTTTATTTTTCAAATTAAATTTGGTTTAAGCTATTGAATTATATTGCACTGTATTTAAATTCCGAATTTGTTATATTTTACTATTCAACTTGTTTTATTGATTTAGTCGAACATCAATATAATAAGAAGCCAATAACACGAAATATTTATAACCTATTTTTTACATTCAACAAATACTTTTTAACATTACAAGTATTTTACATTATTTAATTCAGCAATGTATTAAAAAAAATTACATTAAAAATTTAAATTTATTAAATTAGTTCTTCGAAAATAGTTTTCACTGATCTTCCAAAGAAAATCATAATAAAGTTGTTTTGATAATTCGTAATCTTCAAATCTCTGTTCGAAACCTCAAACCTTCGAACTGTATATGAGAATAATGAAGAATGAGATATGAATAAATATTTATTTAACTTCTTTATCACATTCTTTGTTATTTGAATTGTCATATAAAAATTAATACAGTACAGTAAAACTTTGTATAATCTTAACATTGAATTGGCTAAATACTGATTTTGTTACTCCATCGTTCAATTTAATTTTATTTTGAATATAGTATCATTTCACTCTATTCATCGTGACAAATAATGTCGTCGCATAACGTGCAAACAATTTGAAATCAAGGAAGTTCGGGCAAACTTCTGTGATCTGTAACTTGCAATATCTAGACGTAATATAAGTTACTGTTGACCCTGCGAAACACTTGTATTAATAATATAATACGTGATATAACCCAACCTATTCGTGTAATAATTCAGGATGAAATGGATTCCGTTTCATGAATACGGATATGAAGCGCAAATTTTGCATCATGTGGAAAATCAGCTTACAGAGGCTCTGGTATAGAAATCAATAAATTTAGACGTAAGGTGTTTTTTAGGGCTATCAGTTTTTCTTACATATATTTCTTGATAATAGATAAGTGTTAGCAATAATTTTCAACTAAATAATATTTATTAGTGGTTGATATGAAATATTGGTGAATATAGGTTAGTTTCAAAATTAAAATGATTTACAAAACTATAGTCATCGGACATTGATTCTAATTGGACATAATTTCTTCTTCTCACAATCAGTTTCTTAACGAATTGCTAGTAAATAGAATTTTTATTTATTTTTTCTTTAAATCTAATTTTGAATAAAAGATTCTCAACTGCAATAGCCGAGCCGTTAAACTGTCTCTAGGAAGTATCATTGGAAAGAAACTATTTTTATTCCCGTAATAAAAGAAGATATAGAACAACACCTAATTAAATCTTATTTACTTAATAAAATATTTTGAACTCTTTTTATTTTACTTAAATTCACATTTATTTATATTTGCGAATAATAATTTAAATCAGGAAATAGTTTGTTACACATAAAAAAATTCATTAGTATTTTTATTGGCAGATACGTTAGAAACGACATTTACTATAAATAAAATTGTTTTCTGTAACTTTACAATAACAGTAATTATAATATTACAATATATTTAAATTGCAGGGTAAGCAATCCTATCCCTAAATACTGAATATTTTATGTACTCTACAAACTGTAGTTTAAGAACTCCTAACTTTATGAAGTGTAATTAATGAATGTTCTCTATGAACTGTAATTTGCGAATCCCATGAAATCTAAATAATGAATCTCTTGAGAATATGGAACACGTTCTAGTATAAGATGATTTTCTCATATTAAGAAATGCATTGATGTAGCATGTAGATGCATGTAACTAAATCAAAACTTTGAATGAGAGTGATCAACTTAGTTCTGAAGTAACATATTCACCAGTAATAAAATTGATTTAACAGTATAATTGAAAATGTATTATCTTAATGGTTATCCTCATCTAATCTATTTTTTATGTTCAGATGGATACAGTGTGGGTATCTTGCGAGGGTGAGAACCCAGCCGATGTTGAAAATATGGGTGCCATTCAATTTATCCCTCGCCGCGGTTTCCCAGGATTCTACTACCCTTTCACCAATGTTGAAGGATATCTCAGCCCATTAGTCGCAGTGTACTTTGAGCGGCCGAAAGGTAAAAGTTGATTACATTAATTTATCTTAATTATTATATATAACTGCCACATATTAATATTTACAAATTAATGGTATCAAATATTCTTAAATAGTGTTAAATATTATTTTGTTCATATATAATAAAATGATTCCCTCAATCGTGAATTGTCTCATTATCAACGAGCAGATATAGTTAGGCAGACAAAAAAAGTACTGAATTAATTTATTTAAGAGTAGATAATGTGTCGATTGTAAAGTTTCGATTTTAGTTAGGTTATTAACGAATGATTGCAGACTAACTTAGAGACTTTATATTTTTATATATTTAGTCTTAATGTATGAATATCAGGAGTAATAACGGTGGTCTATAACGATTGTTGGTCAATAATATTTAGATTTGCCCTGTCGAATTTTCAGAAGTTAGATTGTCGAGCTAGAAAAAGTTTTGTAGTACTTCGAGTTCCTGATGATTGATATCCTGTCTAAAGATATTACGATATATATGTAAAATTACATTTGGAGATTTGAGGTTGAGCTTTTAGCATTAAATAGGTTTTATGCTATTTTATACCTATTTTTATCTCCTCTGTTTCCAATATTTTCGTAGAAATATTTTTGAATATTATATTCACAGAGCTTTCTAACAAGGATTTAATTAAAAAAACATTTTAACTATATAAGTTTCCTTAAATATTTTTAAATCTTGCCACACATTATAACTAGTTTTTATGCTTTTGCAAATATTTTTTCTGGTATCAGTTTTTACGAAGGAATGATCTTTTTCACACCTTATCCAGGATCATCAGCGCATCATATAGTACATTATAATACGCTCATAACACTGCATATAATTCAAATACAAATGTATGCAAATGAAATGATGCATTTCCATTCACGTAAAAATGTAAAGATGAAAAGAACAGAATTGCATTCATTATGTATAATAATACCTTTGGCCGAATGCCAACATATTCAAGATCTCCTATTAATGCAAAGAGATTTTCCTTCATAGGTCAGTAGCTTTATTGAATCATTTATGTCTGAATCCCACAGCTTTTCCGATGGATTCAATCCGTATCAGATAAAGCGCTCAAAACATCGATATTTCATTAAAGTCAAAAGAAGTTCAAAAACCCACGATGGTAAAAAATATCAGTAGATAAAAAATAAAGGAATCGATTGATATGGTACGTGTATAATAATCAAATTTATAGGTACAATATAAAATTTCCAGGTAGTTAGATATGAGAATTGAGTGGAATCACTATCCGACGTTGAAGGATCCTAATAAGAGAATTTAAGACCGATTCTGCTGTAAATAGACTAATTTTATGGCAAGGCTATGTTACGCGCTTCTCATACAAAATGGGACTAAATACTATCTAAATGCCATGTGGTTGCTCTGCAGTCAGGCATTTTAGATAGAAAAACCCAACCTAGACCTTTTGACAGTACCATTTTATATGAGAAGCCCATCATAACATAGCCTTGCCATAACATTGGTCTGTTTTACGGTAGAATCAACCCCACAATATTCAAATATATATTTGAAACTCACTAAAATACACTAAATGCTTCATTTGGTAAAATCGAATAAATCTGACCCTTAAGACATCGAATCATTACAAGATATTTTATTTCATGTATCTTACGTACGTTTCTAAATTCTAATTCTTCCAGTCGGTTGACAAGTGTGGAAGAACTACCTCGTTTTACACAAAGTTGTATTATCTTTTCTCTAATTTACGTCCTAAAAGTTTAGTCCAAGAACCTATCGCTAATAGTTCCGTCGCAAACAAACTAGAAACAAGAAGGAACAGACGTATAAACGTTGCCTACCTATTTAAGAGATCCCTTAGGAGACAAACTAACAATAAGAAAACTGTGACGAATAATTTGCCTCTGACATAAGATGCTGCTTACAAGGTAGCAGCATTTAGGAAAGTTTAGGAATACACAACTTTTCAAGACCAGCTCAAAGTTTTGTTCGAATAGTAGATATTTTTTAAGCCTAACATCTAGAATGATCATTATGCTCGAATCGAAACTATTAGGTTCCTAAAACTTACTGGGATGAAATGTTAAGGAATGAATCATAGTATGAATTATAATATAGTTTTATAAAACAAAATTGCATTATAAATGCTCATATCTAATAGTGTATTATGTACTTTTAAATACATATATTGATTGTATTTTAAACACAGTGTACCATATAAAATTTCTCGATGGTAAAATTCTATTTTAAAACTACAGCGTTGAATAATTTAAATGCCATCAAGCTACTATCTCAGTAATCGAATTGAATTTCGCAAAGAGAAAAATCACTATTTTTACTGCGCTTCTTCCAACAAAATTTTGATGATGTGGGAATTTTCTTTTTTTTCTTTTATAATTGTTTAATCAGATCATTTCAATTCCTATCGTAAACTGCAATTAAATTTATTCATATTGAAAAATATTGATATTGAATAGTGTAAAATTTAACTTTTCAACATTGAAATTGATTGAATTTTAAACTCAGTGAATAATATAGAATGTTTTTATGCGGTATATTCTATTTTAAAAATATCTCGCGTTGAATGTTGATTAAATCAATATATAATTTTATTATCATGAATGTTACATTTATACAGGCAAATTTAATTTTGAGACAAGGAAAATCACTTCCTCACATCACATCATTTTTACTGTACTTTTTCCAATAAAATTTTAACGGTGTGAGAATAATTCATTTTTTTAGCGTATGATCAATTAGTTGGATCATTTCAATTGTTATCGGAAACTGCATTGTGATGAATCAAATTATGAAGCTAATGCATTTGGAGATATAATAGTAATAGGGATATTTAGCAATAATCACAATGCAAAATAAATCCATTTTTCCTTGCTGTGGATATTTAGTTGCTTATGGGTGTCTCTAAGAAATACTATATAATTAAATCATTGATTTTATTTAATTGGGTGCCCTTAAAGTTCCATAAATTTTGAAGTTCGAATTTATAAATAGATATATTTTCAGATTATTATTAGAAATGAAGTTTAGTTTCTCGTCATTGTGATAGTTTAAAACATGTTATGAATATAGTTATCATCTAATTCTGAGTATCTAAATTTTCTGGAAATATTCAGAACATAATATATTTATAGATGTATAATTTTAAATGTAACCACTCACATTGCTATTGTAAAGTTTCTTCGACCGATCAGATAATTTATCGATCGACTTATAGAAGATCGGCTTATATAATGTCGGATTTTATTATATACATATATATATATATATATATATATATATATATAATTTTGTTCGAGGTTCCTTCATTTGTAGTCCAAGATATAGGCCTAATTCAACCGTTAGTTCGCGCCCGCGTGGTAACAGCGCATCGACCGGCCAGAACACGCTTTGTAGGTCGTGACGTGCTATGTGACGTCATGATTTTGCCCGTTTTCCGATTTTCCAGAAGCGAATTTTCGCGAAGTTTTCCGAGCAACGGAGGGTGGGGATGGATCGAAGCCGGGCGATTGTTCCGAATGGCATGGGGATGGGAGGGTGAAAAAAAATGTTTCCAACCCTCAGAATCGGGTCAGCAGATACTGCTAATGCCAACGATATAACTTTTTATGTTTAACAAATTATTTAGGGTTATCGAAAAATAAAAACTTATTTACTATGATTAAAGACAAATATTCTACTTTTTTTTACTAAGCCCTTAATATTTTAGAGATGTGATTTATTTGGAAAATAGAAGCATGGAATAATTTATAGACGGTATAAGTTTTTATGTTTAACAAATTATTTAGGGATATCGTAAATAAGAAGTTATTTACCATTATTAATGAGCTTTTACTCTTTAAGCTTTCAATATTTTATAGATGTAATTCATTTGTAAAATAGAAGAATGGAATAATTTAACATAAAATTTGTTGCATATCAAGTAGATTATATTTAGCCTCTTATCCTACTAATGATTGCCAATTAAAATCTAAATAATTTTCATCACAAAAGTTCAAGATATTTAATGATACTGTTTCCATTTCAACGACGCAGGCTATTCGTAGTTCATAAAGATAATTTTCTGAAAGAATTATTAAAGTATTATACTAAGCTCAATTTTTTTACCTCCTCAAAATTATTTCAAGTTTTTTTGTGCTTTCTAATACTTGCAAGTCCATATCAATATTAACCCTATATCGGCCAAATTTTTGTCTTACATCCAAAAAAGTTAGGAAAAAAAAATTTAGTAATTCTAAGCCTATATAAGCAAATGGAAAACCAACAATTCTACTTAAACAAATTTTTTGGTATTAATAAATTATGAGACTTTCAAGGAATGCGGTTTATATGAACATGTTGTTTTAGGTGAAAAAGCTTTAAAGGTTCTAGAATCAAGATCAAAGCAACGTTATAGAATTAAGAATTAGCATCATTCTACGAAAAAACTTGTAATTATTTGGTAAAATATTGAAAAAATTGGAATGTGATCCAAAGGTAACGCAGACCCTGTCAATATAATATAGCAAGGGTTCATGATTGACCATTTTATATTTTATTATTAACATGAGTTAGATAATAATTAATAATCAAAAGCATATTTAATGATTTAATAATTATATTTATATTACGACCTCTTCTGATTGTTAGCGTGTAAAGATAACCACAAATGTGAATTTGCCAACCACAATTCACGCGTCAATTAACCCAATAAAATAAATGTACCTTGCAAAATTAAATTATGACGCATGAGTTATGCATATTAATGTACTGGTATTATCTGACAAAGTACTATTTGTATGTGAAAATATTTCAATTCATGCTCGTTCACTAATATGTGCCCACATTCGCTGCGAGTATTGCATATCCTATATAATTACTCTAATGACATTTGAAATCAATAATCACCATCAAAGTCAATATCTGTCTATTTTATATTGCATTCCGCTCGGGTTTTATGATGCATCGTGTTATTTTTAGACTTTTTCAAATTAATCAGTATTTTATAGTGGCATTTATGACGTTTACAAAAATTTCAGTGATGATGGTTATAATCAGTGACGTAATGATGAAACCGATATAACGTACTAAGGTATTTCCGGAAATCTAGGAGGATCTTATGCAATGAATTCCCTTAGGTATTTCTTGTTTGGTGAAGCGTGAAATTATTAATTTCATATTTGATGCGACCCACGGCTGAGTTTCCTGAAATCTTCATAAAGGCGTTTATCATGAATGTACTTTAACTAATTTCTGTAACTATTTGAATTCATTCGATAGTTATTTTCTGTACTTTTTCATAATTTATCGTAATTTCTTATTTTTTACATATTGTATGCAAATTTTGAATTTGATACAAATTTTAATTGACACTATAAAATTTTTCAGAAAATCCTTAATCGAATAAGATATTCGTAGTAATATTTAATTGACCAGTTAGTTATTTTATAAGGATAAATTGGCAGCGCATTTATTCTAAATATGGAACTTCTTTAGTAATGAAACATTTCAGGATTAATTTTTAGTCTATTCTATTCCATATAAAATTATTAACATTTTTGGGTTGAAATATAATAATATTTATTAACAAATCATACGTCTGACTTTATATTCTCAATCTTGAATTTAGAATTGTTTTGGTTCAATATAAAATTACTTTGCATATAATTTTTTTTTCTAATGAAATAGTAATTTTTAGACCTGTCTTGAAATGAGCAAATAAAACTATAGAATACAAAATATGACTTCGAAACTACAAATTCTTCTGAATTTTCTTTGAATAGATTTTGAAAATTGACAGATATTAATGTAACATAAATTTGTTTTTCAATATTGCCTTGGTAGGGCTGTGGCGTAGTTCTATGCCAAGTGAGTTTGGATGATTCTCGAGGCGGATTTTGTAATGGTCTGAATATGTTAGTATTTTATCGTTGATTCTGTCCATGTCGCGGTCTTTATGTTTTAACCAATTCGGTACATACTTTGGGGCATTCAAATTTATTTTGGCATATTAGAGTTTTTATCACCTTTGATATAATGGAAGCTTATCCATTACCTCTGATTGGCATTAATTGTTCAACCAATTACAATTTTGTTTAATGTAGTAGAGATAGATGCGTAAGGCAATACTTTTAAAAAATGCACTCTTGATATTTACTAATTGCTATTAAATCGTTTTCAGTTGGAGTCTTGATCAACATTGAGTGCAAGGCATGGGCGCAGAACATTATCCACGACAGAGCCGACAGGAGGGGCTCCGTGCACTTCGAGCTCATGGTCGACTTCTAAGGAAAGCAGTGACGCGCCGCATCAGACGCTTATCAACAACGATTCATCGGCCGTCTTAACTTTAACACTACCAACGCATAATAAATAAATAGATAAATATAACAAGAAAATACCAAAACATACATCTACATAAATAACATTTACATGATACACGAACATATTACACGACACAAGATCATTCCATCGTCACACAAAACACGCGCTCGCAAAGCGACACTCACTAAACAATCGACATCACATTTACACGACACATTAATAGTTATTATTAAGTACCAAGTGTTTGATTCGAGAGGTGACAAGTAAAACATTTGAAGTTTGGGAAGCACTGGATAGAGAGTCACCTCGTCTAATGTGGATTCACGAGTCGTCGCGTAACCAAAAAATTAACAAAAATTTAAAGTTTTAACTAAATCGTACAAAAGCACAAAACAGTTGTACGATCCTATACATAACATGAAACGTTAGAAGGCAGGGCCGTGCCCAACATAAAAAAATTCCCCCCTCTCCCCTTTAATAAAATAAATAAGATACAATCCCCGCCTCTTAGATATTAATTAAATAAAAACAATTACTTTAAAGAGTTTAAGAATTAATTATGATGATATAATAAATTAAGGTTAAAAAAATACTTAGTCCGTGAGAGAAAGAGAGTTCAACTATAATAAATAAAATAGTTACTTGATTATCTCGTTAACCCGCGCCATAATAGGTGGCAGTTGATTACCGTAGACATTTTGCGCGGTTTTCGGGTTATATTCTGTTTAAACATTTAACAAAAAAGTAGAGGCTGAGCAATTTACTTCGAGTGTTGTAGAGTTATGTAATTAAAATATAAATTCAAATGATAAAAGCGCATATTCCACAAAAACTAAGAGATAAATCATCGATCACACCATACCGTTGAATAATAAAGGATACACAATCTACATGATACATACATACACAACTACACACACACACACAAGTCGTGTCAAGAACGCGAGGAATGCTCTTTTGGGGTTCACAAAATGAAAAAGATATATTAAATTATAATTGTTATAATCTATAACAAGTTCTTGTTACAGCAGTCATCAAATGACGTATTCAGATTTCACATTTTAAGTGGTACATAGTATATGTTCATATTTATAGTGTATAAATTATGAATGTTTCTATTAATCATCTGTATTTCATCTTACATTATTGGCTAAATTGTTGAATGATATTCTGAATACCATTTGGT